CACAGGAYGCAGTACAGAATCTCCATCACCCAGTCAGTCTTCTCTTTCCATCCCCATGTTCTAAAAAGGGCAAATTTCCCTTGCTATTCTGCAACCTATTGGTGATGCTTCAAGCTGCTGTAATGGTATATAATTAAGTAATAATTTATATTCTGCGCATGTATGCTCAGAGCAATAATGTGTTCTCAAGAGCCGTGTGCTGCTGAGGCGTTTAATCCATGCACAGAAGGAGTTTACTGCAAAGCTGCTCCATCCAAAAGGCTTTTGTCATCACTGAGYTGGGAAAGAATTTGGTTCTTTCTTTAATAATTTCATATTATGGTGGTGCTATAATTTGAATAGCTAATGGTACACTCTCCACCTTAATCAGTCCTCATTTTATTTGTTTGTTTGATGTACCTTGAAAACAATAAAAGCTGGTGGGGCAGAGAGAAACTGAGAATAATGTTGCTTCACTCATGGTATGTTTTTTTTTCTGCAATCATATAATAAAAAAAAAAGATGATAATTAAGTAATTAGCATTGATTCCAAAGAAATTAGTGGCCACAAACTGCCATCAATGGCAGCTGCGAGAAATACTTTCAAAGGAGGAGGCTTACATTTATCTGAGAACTGCTTGGTTTTGGAAGACATCTTAAAATCCATACTTCTGTGTTTCTCTTTTTATCTACTAGTGTTTATAAGTAATACCTGACATTTCTGTCTCTAAAAAAAAAATAAATAAAAGGGAAAAGAGTCTGGTTTGGGGAGTTTGTTTACTTCGCACATCTGACAGCACAGTTCAGTCATGAGTCATTTCTGCCTGTCGTTGGGGGAAGGGAGAGAATCCCTGTCATTCAATGAGACACAAAAGAAGGTTTTTGAATAAAAAACAAGAAAAGTGACTTGTATTGCCAGAGAGCCTCAGAGGCTCTCAGAGGGAGGCTTAGTGCCAGGAACATTTTAATTTCTGCTTTTTGACCTCAAGTTGCTGGCATTTCTTTAAGATATAGAGTGCTGGACATGGCTACTTCTTTCCTTTTTCTCCCTAAAGGATTGGTTGGAGGGGATTGCTATAAATTAAGTCATTCTTGCCCCTCCAGGCATGATGCAACCTTGMCCACAGGGGTGACCTTGGACATTTCCATGCCTGGAAAAGCAGGCAGCCACAATCACCTTTGCTGGTGGTGGTGGGGACGGCACCTTCCCACTTGAAGGCTGAAGGTGATTGCACAATCTGCCATCTCCACCGCTGGCACAAARGACAGGGATGTTTGCAGGGATGAGATTCCTGATGCAGGGCTCTGTTCGCCTACCAGCACAAGGGGCTTTGAGCCCAGTTCCTGCTCGAGGGGCTGGGGAAGGAGCAGTCYTGGAGGACACAGGGCACATCCCGATCCCACAGGGAGGTCAATAAGACCCAAAGGGTGCTCCCTGGTGTGGAGCTCCCTGGTGTGGAGGAAGGCAGACTATCGCTTGCAGTGTTCAAAGAGAGCAGCCCTTCTTGCCTTGCAAAATCCTGTGGGTAAGATACTCCTTATGGACGGTTTGGATCTGCCCATGTTGAAGTCAGTTCAGCTCAGCAAGTTTGCCTTCAAACACCCTAACTCTGCATCTGACAAGCTGCAAGTGGGGCCTTTCTAGCCAGGCTGATCGGAAAGGAAAGGAGTCACTGCTGAAAAAAAAAAACAATAAAATCCTGGCAGCAGAACCAGTTTGATACTGTCCTGCATAAAACCAGCTATAGCAAAGGGCTCTTCCTCCCAACCCACGCAGATTTAGGTGTTGACAGGCGATGACCCGAGCTTCCCCCACCACCCCTGCTCTGTGCGTGCCAGGCCCTGTGTGCAGCCCAGCACATTGTCCTGGGTGAGGGGCAAGGCCGGAAACCATGGCAGCRGTGGCTCTGCCCACCTCAGCTCCGTCTCTGCACTGCCTCTGCTCTGTCTAGCCCCCAAAGCGGGGGAGACCCACAGGGACTCGGGACCCATAAGCTCAGCTCTACAGAGGCCCTTCTCCCCAGCTCCTACTAACCTGAGCATCCTCTGTGTAGTCTTATGCTAGGGAGCAAGGTGATGCAGCTTTCTCATTTGTCATGCTGGGGCAACTGAAGGACTGAGCTTAAAAAATAAGCGTGTTACAAACGTTATATGGAGCAGAAAAAAAAGATCAAAAAGATCATCTCTGTCCTAACAATCTTCCAGTCTAAATGGAAGGTATGTTCAGTGTAATGTTTAATTTTCTTCTTCCATAACATATAAAAAGGGAAAGCATAAGATAACCACGTGATATTTAATAGCTCCAGTGCTCTGAGCTTATTGCTGTTGATCATCAATCCTTTAGCAAGGCAGGCATTTTCAAGAGCAGATGGAGAGAAAGGGTGACTGCCTGATGGGGAGGTCAAGGCAGAGGTTTGACTTACATCAAACATTGGTTTCTGTGGTGCAGGCAGGGCTTTATGCGGGGTTTTATCCATCAACTGACTGAAGCACTTTGCAACAACACATAAAATGTGTTTTGACACATTTTTTGTCAAAAACGCCACTGTTGCTTTGTCTCATTCATTCATTAGTGTTCCGCTTGGGATGGCAACACACAAAGTGGTCACAAGGAACTTAGCGTGTTCTGCCCTCCCCCAGTGATGGAAGAGGTGGCCTCTCTCTCTTCCTTCCAACTCGAATACCAGCACATCCCCAGTGAGCTCTTGTTGCRTCCCATCGTGTATGCCAATCCCCAGGAGGAAGCATCAAGCCTCAGATCATTTTGTGTGTCTCCCATATACAGTACTAGAGAGAGTGCTAAACCTGTGCCCATAACACAGTATGAGACATCCTGTGAAGTGGTCGAGATCCATGCTGTGTATGCCGTAGTGTTTTGCATAACTCTCAGGACTTAACATCCTGGGGTTGGCACACTCTCCAGCTGAGTGACAGGACAGGAGAAGCCGCTTTCAAGGAAGTTTCATGCTCATGATTCGTTCCAGTCTCTACTATGATTTTCAGTCTTCGGAAGAGTTCACTTGTTATGGGGTGGAATATCCCCAGCAAGGCAGATTGCCAGTGTGCTGGCCCTGCGCAAACAGGAAGGGTAAGCAATGCTCCTCACGCTGAAGCGTTTAGAATTCAAAGACAAAGCATGGAAAAACAAGGAGAATTTTTGAAATCTCAAGTTATTTCCTTCCCTTTTGTACTTGGCAACTACAGTTTCTGTCTGGCCACACAGATTTTCCCGCCCACCTTTCTTAACAATTTTGTTTCTCCAAGAGCTAAAATTATTACATTCACACTAGCAAAGAAAGGTCTTTAACATCATTTTTTCTAACTACAGCCCTTTGAAGCAAGCCACAAGGCTTGGTTTAGAGCACAGTGACTCTGGTGGATTCTTTCCTTCAACCTCACGATGTGTTAGACTTGTTGACATGCCACAGAGAAATAATTATGTTCTTGCAAGGCAGCTTCAGGTTAACTGAAATGAGAGAGTAAAACATAAAGGGGGAATGGTGATTTCTAATCAAACAGCCTGATTTCTGAGTGCAGGCTCTGCATTCCTCTGGCTCTATGCTTTGAATTGCAGGACTTTTCTGAAGATAGATCTAGAGCCCAGGATGTCACAAGGCAGTTTCAAAATCTGGTCATTGATTATAGATCAATAGGCTGTTGGTCTGGGCAGTCTTTATTTAAGCAGTTATAGCACCTACTGCAATAGCTCTCTGGTACTGACTGGTATCTTAGGACACTACCCTAATATGAGTATGTAGGAAAAGCATGGGCCATGTGTAACTGTATAGAGCATATTGCATTCGGGGAGGCCTTTAGCAGTCTCATGTTCCTTGTCTTTTATAACAGAGAGTATTTGCAGGTGGTACTCTACAAACATACAAGAAGAGAAATGACAGTACGAATAGACAAGGAAGATTGTGGTCAGGGGAGATAGCAGAGAATAGCTTTATGGTGGTCTCACAACATGTCTATGATAGAGATTTGCATGGCTATCCTGAATTTTTATGGTATGCTTACAAAACAAAGGTGGCAGGTATATCAGGAAGACCACATATTTCTGGACCCTTTTTATTTCTTGGAACAGACATGGAGAGTCTGTGACTGTCTGTTATTCAGTGTATACATGGCAACTGTGAAGCTTGAGAAGCTCCAAGTTTAACTTAATGATGGACCTGGACATCAGAGATTAAAATTAGATTCATTTGGGCTGACTAAGCTTCAGACTCATTTGATTTTTGTGACTTTCCATAATGTTACTGGGCAGAATTATGAAGCCCATCCTCACCATGTCCTGAGAAAGAAATCGAGTGTTTCTGTAGAGATGGAAAACAGAAACAGAAGATTTTAGAGATTTTCACCAGAGTGAAGAGGGCATCTGGGTTAAGAGTAGAGTTATGCACAGGGCAGAATCTAAGTTTTGTGAGGGATATAAGATTTTGACATTGGCATTTAAAAAGGAGAGATATTTTGAAATATTTTTGATTTCGATGTAGGAAAAGTCAGAAAAAAAGAATGTCTCCAAGTCATTTGAAAGGTATGTTTCAACAAAACCAGAATATGTCAAATATTTTGTAGTATTTCCATCTATACAGTGCATCATTTAAAAACTAAGATGAAATAGAAATTAAAGTGTTTGTTTGTTTGCTTTTCTGTTTGTTTTTTGCCAAGAAGGGCTGAGGCATGACATTTGCTTCCATGTTTGTGGAACTAAAGCAAAGTTCCAGCTAAACCAATGGTTTCATGAAGCAATCTGGTTCCCAAGGAAGGGCTTGTAATGACAAGTGTTCCTATTTTGGTTTCTCCACCCAACTCTATTTGTGTTCAGGTCACTGGTGGCACTCAGTTCTTTCTCTGGGCTGCTGCTAGGCCAAGCCGCTTTCTATATGAACATCYTCCTTTAGGTATTCCCTTAACGATTGTACTAACTCATTTTCACATGACCTAGAGAGTAGTATTTCTGTCTTTCTAACTTTTCTTTCTTTTTCTCCTCCTTCCTTCCCCCCTTTCCCGCTCTTCTCCAGGAACCTTCTGCATCATCTCACTGTGCACATGCGTGGCTGGAATCAACTTCGAGCTCTCCCGCTACCCCCGCTACCTGTACGGACTTCCCGACGACATCAGCCATGGCTATGGCTGGTCCATGTTCTGTGCGTGGGGGGGCCTGGGCCTCACTCTTATCTCTGGCTTCTTCTGCACTCTGGCCCCTTCTGTCCAACCTGTCCCCAGGACCAACTGCCCCAAATCTAGACCTGAGAATGGGACAGTGTGCTAAAACAAATAGCAAACAAACAAATGCATATATATACATATATATGTCTATGTATGCCTATACATGCATATATATGTATATATAATTATATATATATATATATATATATAAAATCTCAAATTGATGCCAGTGCCAAGGTAGAGCTGAGTCCATGTGGCACTCACATCTCCACCGGACTCTGTGTTGCTTCGTTCTTTCTCACAGAGATGGGAAAACTTTTCTCTCCCATGGCTCTTCCATCCAGCTCATAACTTCAGCATCATAATTTAAAGGTCAAACGAACATATCATTGCACCTATCTACTGCCACTTGGGAAGGGGAAAAGGGGGTCTGTGTGGGGATCTGGAACCAGAATCTGTACAGGACACGGAGGGTGGGAGGGTGGGGGGCGGGGGGCAGGGACAAAAAGCCAGTCCATTTTGCTGCCAGAAAGGAAAATGCAAAGAACAAGCAAAGAAATAAATTGAGCATTTGAGCCACCTCTAGAATGTACCTCCTCAAGGCCATTATCAGGAAGCCACCCACTTTCTTTTTCTTTCGTAAAACAAAATGAGAAAAGCCTGACCTGTTGTTGGTTTTATTTTTTTTCTCCTGCTTAAATGGACAGAACATGTGGAGAGAAAGAAAAAAGCATTTTCTCTTTACCTGCCAAACTTTAGAAGAGGCAAACAAATAGAAAGGATCTAATGGAATGAAAAAGAAAACAACAAAAACAAACCCATGAGAACATTTCAGCGGACTCTTCAACAATGTTGTTTTAATCTTTCAGCTGCCTTACATCCAGGCTTACAACTGAGGCTGAACTGCTATTGTAAATGCAGTAGAAGGCCTTCTGAAAATGCTGTGATACATGTGTGTATAGCTTTTTCTTCCCTCTTCTTTTCTTCTTTTTTTTTTATGAAAAAGAAAAATGTTAAACCTTGCAATGTGATTGTCCACTAAACCATCCATGCAGTTTTTGTGGCCCAAGACTGAAGCACCACAACTGCAGAAGTGTGAGGAAAACTGTCAGTTCTGAGACAGCGTGTCTCCTTTGGTGGATTTCTGAGTTTTTTATATTCATGGAGCATCTGAGAGTTCAGGATGGTGGATCCAAGGGAAGATCGACCAGGGAGGTGGGGGGAGCCCTGGCTGTTGTTCTTCTTGGAACAGGAAGTTCCAGGAAGTTCCATTTATTGGAGTGGGATTTGATTGAGTTTCCATTTTGGATGTTTAAAACAACTGGGCAAAAGCCATTGCCAAGGACCAAAGGGGAGCTATTAGATATAAGGGAGAAATAAGAGATGTCCCGTGTTGTGTGCATGTATGCCAAATAAGACCTTCCCACATGTTGTCTTTGGAAACTGCCCCAGTTCCTTGAACATCTCCACTCTCCATCTGGGGAAACTGTCTCTACAAGCAGAAAAGGAAGGCTCAGGTGCAGGGAATGGAGATGCTTTTCCCACGAGTTCAAGTGTTGTACAATATAGTTGCGACTCTGCCAATGAGGCTCTTTCTTTTTTGTCTTTCTCTTCTTCCTGCTGCTCCTCTTCCCATTGTCCCCTTTTCTTTTAACTCTGCTCTTCCCATAGTTCAGGTCCATGGGTCCCAGAACAGCTACATGTCTATAGCAGGTGAAAGGCATTAAGAGAAGAAAAGCAGTTCACCTGCCAGAGCAGCAGTTCCTTACAGAGGAACTGTGGCTCAGGGCAAGGTGGCAAGAAAGTGCCAAGGGTGCAACCAAAATGGGTCTGAAGAGGCACCTACTGAACTGCCATGTGCAGCAGCAGTGGTTCCAGTGACAGGCTTAGCTGTACAGGTTAAGAAAGACAGGGGAAAAACAAAAGAAGTCCCCCAAACCCAGCCCAGTGTGCTGTTAATTCAGGGGTACTCCCAGCAATCATCAGCTGCATCYACGCAAAGCTGACTGGGAGAGGAGGCAAAACATCAAAGCAGTGTCTGCTGCACAAAAATGGAAGCAATCATCTACAGATATTGCCATTTACATCGTTGACAAGGAACAGTATTTTGCCCTGTTCAAAGTAAAAAAAAAWWAAAAAAAAGATCAAAAACCACAGCAACCAGCAAACAGATGTTATGCAATACAACTACATAGCCAGCCACTCCACCGTCCAGCTCTGCTTTCCCTCCCCGTTACACCTTGCGTGATGCTGTGATGATGTTGCTTTAGCAATTGTGCCCAAAGAAATAAAAATTTGGGAGGACATTTCAGATTACCATAATTTGGTTTTCTTTTCTTGTAGCTCAACTACTTGRCTTTTCCTTTGGCTGGTTTACAAACTACCCAAACACGCTAATGCCAGCTGCCAAGTCAGTGTGTAGCCACTGAAATGCCACCCCTGGCAACTGAAGTTTTGTATTTTCATTCTCCATTAGCTCTTATTGGAGAAAATATTTATTTATTCATGTTGAAAGTTGCAGACTTTTGAAGGTCCTTCCTTTTGAAGTATATCAGTTTCTCTCTCACGCTCTTTTTTTTTGGGATGCGAGGGGGCAATGTTTTCAAATACTGTCTTTTTGAAAAGCTTTGAAATTGTTTGAGTGTGCAAGTGCCTACCAGGGAAGGAGGTGAATGAGTTGCCATTGGTCAGAAGAAAGAAATTAAAATAAGAACAGTTCCTTGAAAGCTAAATAAAAAGTGAAAGCAGTAAACTAATAGCTAAAAAATATTTTAAAAAGTGGCATTTATCAAAGTATGAAAAAAATGTGAAAAAAMCCTAAATTCTCATGAAGATATTAACTCTTTAGAAAAATGACATTTGTTTCATTGAAACATCTTGGAACATATGCTTTCTTCTTCTGCAGTTTTGAGTGTGATAGAAAAGATGTTTCAGATGAACACTTGTTTCTGAAGAGACCTGGATAAGCTAAAGGGCACAGAGGTCCCTACCTGGAGCCCACCATCAGATCTTGTGGCATGGAAAGCAGCATGACAGCTCCCATGACAGTGTACAGTCAGGTGTGATCGATGGCAACTCATGGGGTGTATTCTTTTACTGATGCACTTTTGGAATAGGCATGGCAGTAATATTGAAATGGAAATCATTTGGCTGTTTCATGAACTCTTAAGTCTTTTCTTTCCGCAGCTGGCAAGAAAATAGTTCTGCCTCAGTGAAGTCTTCTCTAAAGATGTTGCATATGAGCTTGTGTGTTTGTCTGTGTGTGGTGATGGTGGAAGGGAATTACACTATTTTTCTTTGCAATAGAGCAGTGTTAACTCTGAATCTTTAGCCCAGTTCCATGACTTCTTATTTGCTATAGTGTATGTTCCCCAGGCCTCCCCTAGGAGTGGGAACATGAGTGGGAACATGAAGCAAAGGGGATAAGCGTTTGAAGCAGCAGATGATTATATGTTCTTAATGTCAAACTGCCTCCCCAAAGGAACCATTTGTCCAAACACCAGTTCTCTTATCTTCTCCTGAAGTATACGCAACCCATCCCAGGAATATTCCAAATTCCCGTTATCCCACTCACAGGCCTGTAAGGAGCTGGAGAGCACTGTGCTGTTTGCAAACTGGCCTCTGACCCCCGCTATGCTTTCTGTTACCCCAGACTGACCTTTATGACAGGGTGAATTCAAAATGCATCCAGATCCAAGTTTGCAATGCCTAGTGTCTCGATCTATYCTGAGCCAACGTCAAATACCATCTAGTCTTGCATTTCTACACTTTTGGAAGGCTTTGAAATATGTTTCTGAATACAGATTCAAGCTTTTTAACTAGTGTCTGGTTTCTAGTTTGAGCAGTAGTTAGAAATTTGTTAGCTGTGATCCCAGCATTAAGGGGCTTGGCCCTGTCCCTCAGATCTGATCTGGTGAAGTGTTTAAGCGTGTGCTTTACTTCGAGCATGTGACTAATCCCGTAAACCTCAGTAGACTATTCATATGCTTAAAGTCAAGAATGTGCTTTGCTGGATCATAATGTTCAGCTTCCTGCAGAGTCGGCGCCCCGTTCTTCCTTCCCAACCTTGTCTGCATAGAGGACGCAACGCTCTTGTCCCAGCCTGATGTGTCCACGGCCATCCGGACTCTGGCTCCGGAGGGGCCAACAGTGCTGGGGCTCCATATTTGCCCAGCTCCCTCACACACGTGGCCTTTCATGTCGCATCCTTGAGACAGCACATTGCTGCGTCGCGGAGGAACCCGCCCGGAGCTCGTGAGGCGCCAGTCCCGGGGCGCAGGCCGAGCTGGCTCCGTGCGCTGYGAGGTGCAGGCTGCAGTTTTGTTTGTAGCGAATCTCCGGCCTACTGTCTAGTGAAGTTGTCCCGTGACTACAGTGAGTTAGCTGCGAAGGAGGTTCTGCTGTCCATCCCTGCCGGGGACGTTGTGTATGTAAGGGGGCTACATGGCAGGAATCCATGTGCTCTGTATCTTATGTACTGTATATGCCACTTTCTTCAAGATAAAGCTGTTGGTGTGTTAAAACTCCTGACTCATTCTGGCCACCTGTATATACCATCTCTCCCTTCCCCCTCTCTGCAAACATACAACCGATCTACCCTGGTCTAAATAGTGCAGTCCCTCAAGTTGTATTTCTAGGGGTGGATTTCTTCAGTCCCCAGGGACATTCACAAGTGGATCACAAACCACCAGTGACCAGAGCAATTTCTTCAATTTTTTACTTTTGAAAAAATGCTCTCATTTAAAAAAAWTTTTTTTTTACATTATTCCAACAGTAGTAACAGATGAAAAGAAGATACCCACAGTCCTCTAAGCAGAGGACCSTCATCCTTCCAAGAGGAATCATGAGAGCACAGCTCTTCTGCTGCCCTGTAGGTGTGAGATGTTTGGGACCACTTTTAGCTATGGCATGTTAGCTGTGTGGTTCATTGGATGACGAGTAAAACAACATTAATGAGGGAGAGGATTGGGATGCAGGCGATATCTTCCATGTCCCAGGCATTATTGGAAGACAGTGCCTCCCTGGCTGTCCATTTGCTTGCCATGCAGCACCTCTGAATCTGGCTCATCCCTGGAGCCCCACTGATAGGCAGAGCTCAGAAGAAAATAACTGTAATCTGTCCTTAATTCTTGAGTGCCAAGCCAACTGCCAGGAGTGAAATGGAGAGGAAATAACATGTTACCAAGTATAGCTTAAATAAAGATATACATTATTATTTGAGCTCTTTCTTCTGTGTGTCTCTACAAGTGCTATAGGAGTGCACATTCACACAAATCAGCCCTATCTACCAACACTAGATTTCTTTGTCCCTAGATTTCACACTTTTTCATGGCCCATATTATTTGCATGCAACAGAGTACTCATCTAGTAAGTTAGAGAAGAATCAAAGTGAAAAACCAAGACAGCTCTGCATGATTGCCAGGCACAAGTGAGAAACAGAGAGTTAAAGTAGTTAAAAAGTTTGATTGCAAACTCCAGACTATCTGTAAGCTTTTGATTCTGCCACTCTGAACTGGAAATCTCGTAAAAATAGGACTTAGCTCACAGCTTCCAGTCCCACAGCTTCCAGTACGGCCAGGAAGATAATGCTCCTGATCCAAATTCTGTTGAAGTCCACAGACA